CACGGCTCCTCCTGCTTCCCCACGCTCCTGCACCCTGGAATGCTCATGGCCATCCCGGCCCAGGGGTCCTGCTCAGTCCCCTCACCACTGCCTGGGTGGTCTCAGCCACACTGCTCGGCCTCCCAGCAGGACAATGACCTGGCCACTGTCCTGCTCCTCCGCGCCGGTCCCGCGGGGCCTTCCCCGAGCCAGGCCGGACACACGCCCGGGTCACTCGTCAGCCCCGGGACAGCCACACTCCTGCCCAGGACAGCCACACTCCTGCTCAGCCCCTTCCCGCTCCTTGGACGGCTCCGGCCACGCCGACAGCTCCAGAGTGATTTATAAACAAACATTCCCATTGGGACGATGCTGCTGCAGGGCTGGAGCCAGCCCAGCCACGAGGCTGCCACAGCAACGGTTCTCACAGCCCTGGGACCATCCCCAGCCCCTCGGACGTGCTGGAACAGCCTCCATCGCAGCTCTAACCTGGGAAACCGAGGCACGGAGGGGTCTGGGGATGTGCAGGCTGGGATGTGGGATGTGCAGGCTGGGATGCGCGTGCTCGGCACCTCCCCAGCATCCCACAGGGTGGGGACCCTCTTCTCGCCCGGCATTTCCCCCCTCCCCGCCCGGCTCAGGCTCCCGCGGCACTCTGGGCACGGCTAATGACGGGCCTAATTGATCTCTGACGAGGCACCAGAGATCGATGCCGGATCCCGCTCCAGGCTCTGCGAAAAGCCATTTCTCCTGCCCGGCCGGGCAGCACCGCCCCTCGCCCGCAGGGAAGAGCCCATCGATCGGGGCAAGGATCGATCGGGTGGAGAAGGGGATGGAGGGGAGGGCGGCCACCCCCGGGAAGGGGCTGGGGGGAGCAGCCCCCGGCAGCCCTTTGCTCCAGCCCCGGGCACTGCAGGCGAAGGGGGCTGCAGGAGCTCCCCCCGCACCCAGCGGGTCCGGGATGGGGCACGGGCCGTGGGGAAGCACCTTGTCCCCATCCCAGGTGACACGGGGACAGGCAGGAGCGAGGGGGACTCTTCCCCAGCACCTCCACCACCGTGCCAGGCTGCAGAGGAGCGGGGTCCCGGACCCGCGGGGAGGGGAGGGGGTGAACACCCCTGGCACAGAGACCAGCGGTGCTGGGCAGTCACAGGGCCGGCACACCCGCCCTCCTCTCCTCACCTGGCTCTTCCTCTCCTTATTTCTTCCTCTCATGTCGGCCCAGCCAAACCTGACCTAATTTGGCGCGACCAGACAGGGTCTCCACTTCTCACCCCCCCTCCTCCCCGCTCCTTTCACGGGGTTTAAGCCTTTTCCCTTTGTCCATTCACTCCAACACTAATCAGATTAAAGCTTTGCCCGGGGTGCTGCCCCCACCTCGCGCCGCTTCGCCCCCTTATCCCTCTCTCCCTTCATCCCCTTATCCCCACCTTGCTCACACCCTCATGCCACCCCTCACTTCACCCCTTTATCCCCCAGCAGGTTTTGGCAGCTAGCTCTGAGGTCCAGTCACTGCCATGCCAGGGACAGGGGTGGCACCAGCTGCCCGTGTGTCCCCAGGGAAGGGCAGAGAAGGGGAGGCTGTGGGGAGACAGGGAGCGATGGGGGCACAGGACAGAGATGAAGGAGGTGGCAGGATGGGGATGAAGGAGGTGGCAGGATGGGGATGAAGGCAGCACTGGCCAGAGCTCTCCCTGCCAAAGCCATCCCACTCTTTGGGGAATCCCTCCTCCTCCTCAACCTGGCTTCACATTCCAGGCCGAGCTAAAGGAACACCTAAGAATAGCAGAAATTTAGGAAAAAAAGGGTGTTTTTTACTTTTTCCCCTCTTTTTGCTCAGGGCCGTGTCTGCCCTTGCACAGGAACTGGGGATTGTGACAATGGGCAAACTCGGGACCACGGTGCCCACCCCGAAGCCCCCCAGACACACACGAGACCTTGACCCAATGCCCAGACCCTGGGGTCACCCACCAGCACCTGCACCCCGGGGGCAGCTTTGGAAAGGGAATAATTCCCCACCAGAAACTTCCTGGCCTCATCCCATGCGCTCCAACCCCTCCCAGCCCCAACATCACCAAATGCCCCCACCTAAACCCCCCAAATTGATTTCGATTCCCCTCGGCCCAGCCCTGCACACAAACGCATTCGCCACGGCCCCCTCCCCGGCCGGGATTGTATGCAAAGGCGGAGAGGGGCAATGAATAATTCATCCCCGCTGTCTTTCAGAATTACACTGTGGAAAAATAAATCTGAGACTAT